CCCTAAACCTGAGCAACAATTTTAAAAAGCCGTATAGAAAAAGAAAACCCCTCGTCTGATTTTTTTTCACCACTTTTTCGGATTTTACCACGTTCTCACCCTGTTATGAACTCATTCGCTTTATTTTTTGGATTCTGTTTTTGTCTTACCTGATTTCTGGAACCGCTCTTCCCCGGACTCGAACCCGGACGCCTTTGTCAACTCCACCTCTCTGCATTTGAAGTCCGCCGATGTACACGATGAGCTGACCGAACAAACTGATTGCGGCGGAAAAGCTCTCCACACGGAGGTAAGCGGTCAGCCGGCAAGCGCGAAAGGGAACGGCGTCACACCGCCCCGTAGCGCTCGCTTACAAAAATGAAATGCAGCCATACGTACCTCCCGGGACGTATTTCGCGGTCTCCCGAAACATCCGCGGGACTACGTTTTCAGAATGAGCTTGGGTTGTGATTAGACGTTGATGTTTGGTTGATTTCAAGTTGATTTTAGGTTGGATGTTGAACATTGACGTTGGCCTGACAGGTTCTGACAACATTGAGGTACAAAATCAGCATGACGTCATGTTGACGTCCTGTGCCTGCAGGGAGGTAACATCTCTTAATAATGAGACACACTCCCATAATGTGGACTTGATTTCTGTAAATAATATTTTCTCACAATAATGTTACAAACTTTGGTCCCCTCTTTAAAGTTCTTACTGAGAGTTTTTGTCTTGTTTCTAGTCCAAAAATCTAAAAACTCTTCAATTAAGAAGCTTTTTCCAGACCAGCAAGAAAATATAGTGTTGTTTTCAGAAATATCGAGTCAAAATAAAGTGAGTTTTTACCTAAAATAATCTCGTTTGCACTTGGAAATAATGTTATTTTAATTATTTTACTCCATTGTCAGATTATTTTGCTTGTTTTAAAGGGAAAACCTCACTTCATTTTGACTCATTATTTCTGAAAACAACACTGAGGGCTCTATTTTGACGGTCCATGCGCAGAGCGCAAAACACAGGGCGCAAACGCTTTCAGGGCGTGTCAGGACGCATTTTTGCTAATTTAATGACGGGAAAATCTGCTTTGCACCGTGGCGCATGGTCTAAAAGGGTTGAGTTTATTCTCTTAATGAGTTATAGGTGTGTTTTAAGAATAAACCAATCAGAGTCTCATCTCCCATTCCCTTTAAGAGCCAGCTGTGTCACGCCATAAGAGTATTTTGACGTAAAGTAAGTTCACTTTCACTTTTGCTCTCGTGGATAGGGAAACCTTTACGCACAGACATCAATTAGCCTATAAATAATTAATTTAGTTTGTTAAGCGCAAAGATTCGTTTCAAAACTATTTCTAAATTCAGTTCTAATTTCCAGCAAACGAATAAATGAACAATAATAACAAAGTGTGCTCAAAATTATTTCCAAATACACATGCTGTGCCCCATATGGTCTAAAACCTGACAGGGGGACAAATCTAAGCTTGTTTTTAATAAAACTAATATAAATATGGATATAATAAATAACACTGCTAATAATAATAACATTATACAAAAGCAAATTGTTATGAATGAACTGAAAAAGCCTCCCGAGATGAAGAAAGTAAAGCAGTGGTTTTTAAATCTTCATGTAGGCTAGGAATTAATATGTTTTGTAAAATTTTATTCATTTATATTTATATCCTGTATATATATCCTTATTATATATATAAATCCTTAATATATTATATCTTTTTCATATGTAAAGATATTTGTGTATTGCTCTGCATCTTGTGTGTAGTGTGTAAGCCAGGCGCACTTTGCGCCAGACAATAGACCGACTTTGTTCTGGTCTAAAGATCAGACTATTTACAGTTTCTCAAAATAGCAACGCACCAAAACATGCCTGCTTTTTTAGACCAGAACGCCTATGGGCGCACATTTGAGCGCAAATGAATTTGCTATTTAAACAGCGTGGCGCAACACCTCAAAATGACCCTTGCGCCGAGCTAAAAGTAGAAAAAGAGTATTGCGGCGCGCCTTGCGCCACATTGCGCCGGGTGTATGATAGGGCCCTTAATGTTTGTGCTTGTTTAACCTCCTAAAGTCAAATACTATTTTGGGATTTCCGCCTGGATTTTGCCGACCCAAATTTAAAAGCTTCCCAAATCCACATGCAGACGTATAAATGCAAAAAATTGGTATCATTTTAAAGAAAACCCTTTGAATTTTCATAAAACACTATTGAAAGTGTTTATAATATCTGGATATGTCGTCTGTGTTATAATACACACCTAAAAAAGGGGGGCGCTTTTTGTATAATTTTTTTTATAAACTCATATTTGAAAGTGTACCGTTTAGGTTGTGTGTGGTCTAGCGTGCTGTAATTAATGTTGGTGGTTCCTGCACATGTCTGTAATCATAGGAAAACAGAAAAATGTCTCCACCATAATCTATGCAGAAGTTATTGTATTCCAACTGATGAGAGGTGCTGTACAAGCCACAGGGAGCGATCATTGTTTTTATATTTCACTATTCTTTGATCAAACATAATTCACTGTGTTTGGAGCACGTCAGACATATAAAAGGATTACTTATGCACATCAGCTCAAAAACAGAGGAGAATGGCCCTGAAGCGCACAGCATAAGGTAAGAGATGACAGCTGTCTGTGCTATCTGGGGCTGCTTATTGATCATAAATGTATTGTTTTCACTTCTGCGCCATGGAAACACCGAAATTCATTCGGAAATTGTTTGATATTTGAATATAATTCATTAAAATGAACGCTAGAACCGTATGAGCACCGGCAAGAGCTTTCATTTGAGCTATAACTTGTGCATGTGTCATATATGAACCATTAGAAAATGAACCAATGTTCAATAGCCAGCTCGAGTATCAAAAATACTGTGTATTTAAGTGTAAATAACTTTAGTACAGTAAAATAAAAACCAAAGTGCTGCATATGTGCATAAAATATAGATTCTACACTTTTAAACGGAACCACTTAAGGGGGTCTGGTGCAATGCAGCCCTTTACATCTAAAAGTGAAAGTCGATGACGTCGCAGAGTTTGAGAGTCTAGAAAATGCTTCTTGAATTCAGAGTGTTTAGATATTTGGACTACAAACAAGACACAAACTCTGAGTATGAAAAGCATTTTAGTCTTACACTCAGCAAAAATGTAATAAATTATGTCCAACAAATCAGGATGCGACAGAAGAGTGTGAACTGCAGCTCAAACACAGGTCTTGGCCATCCAGAAAGGAAATAATAAAATCCCAGCGTTCCTCTGATAGTCTCTGTACATCCCGATCTTCACACGGAGGTATTGGTGGCTAGTCCAGGAATTCACTGAATTCAGGTGTGACTCAAGCACAAGCCTCGACGGGGCTCATGCACTGCAAAAAACACTTTTATTATGTCGTTTTTGATTGGTTTCTAGTCAAAATATCTAAAAATGATAAAATCAAGAAGCATTTTCTAGACAAGTAAGAAATATTGTCTTGTTTTCAGACATAATGAGTCAAAAATTAAAAGGGTTTTTCCTTAAAACAAGCAAAATATTCTGCTAATCTGGTAAGCAAAATAAAGGTATTTTCGCTTTGGCGTGATATTATTCTGCTCACTCCACTGGCAGATTATTTTGCTTGTTTTAACTTAATTTTGACTCATCATTTCTGATATCTTCGCTAATGCTTCTCGATTTATGAGTATTTAGATATTTAGATTAGAAACATAATATGGAGTCAGATCAGTCTCAAAAATAACACATTTACAGAATAAAAGTTACACACACAGCACAATTCACATTTACCAAAATTTACTTCGTAAATTCAAAACACAATTCGTGAGTTCACAAAAAAAAGCATAAATATTTGCCCAAATGAATTGCATTTGCATATTTATGAGTTGCATTTTGAATTCACCAATAGCTTATGCATATTCATGAATTGCATTTTTTAATTTACAAAATGGATCTTAGCATATTTATGAATTGTATGTTTAAGTTTACGAATTGAATTTGAATATTCAAGAATTGTGTTTTGAAATTACGAACTGCAATTGCGTATTTTATTAATTGTATTTTTAATTCAACTATTGCAATTGCTTATTCATAAATTGCGTTTTGAAATTCCGAACTATTTTATGAATTGCGTTTTTAAATTCCCAAATTGGATGTTATATTTATGAATTGCATTTGGAATTTACCTATTGCATTTGCATATTTGCATATAGCAATTTGAAATAAAAAATTGCAAATGCTATTTATGAATTGCGTTTTAAATTCACTAATGGAGTTTGCATATTCATGATTTTGACTTACGAATTGTGATTTGAATTTAACTATTGCATTTGCATATTTACGAATTGCATTTTGAATTCACCAATTGCATTTGTATATTCATGAATTGCTATTCACAAATTGCGTTTTAAATTCCCAAATTGAATTTGCATATTCATGATTTTGCCTTATGAATTGGGATTTGAACTTAACTCTTGCATTTGCATACTTCCAAATTGCGATTTGAATTTGACAATAGCATTTGCATATTTATGACTTGCAATTTCAATTCATCAATTGCATTCGGATATTCATGAATTGTGTTTTTAGTTTAACTATTGCGTTTGCATATTTTACGAATTGTGATTTGATTTCACCAATTTCATTTGCATATTTATGAATTGCATTTTGAATTCACCAATTGAGTTTGCATATTCATGACTTTGACTTATGAATTGCGTTTTGAATTTAACTATTGCATTTGCATATTTACGAATTGCATTTTGAATTCACCAATTGGATTTGTATGTTCATAAATTTTTTCAACATAACCATTGCATTTGCATATTTTACAAATTGTGATTTGAATTAATGAATTGCATTTGCATATTCATCAATTGCATTTTAAATGCACCAATGGCATTTGCATATTCATGAATTGCTTTGGTACATGTGAACTTTGCGATGCATGTATGTCTTATTTTGTAAATGCATAATTGTTGAGACTGCTCTGACTCCGTAGAAACCACAAGATCCAAACACTACATAATAAAAGTGCGCTGTTGTTTTTTTTTTTGCAGTGTGGTTTTGCAGGCCTCACTACCTGCCTCCGTGCACTGAGGGCTGTCCATCCAGGTCATTTTCCACCACTGCTGAAAATCCATCTTTCTCTACACAGTCGGAGAGCACCTTCAGCACCAGCCGCAGCCGGCGGTCCAGCGCCTCCAGGTGGGGTTTTATGAGGACGGGCACCAGGCGGTCCTGCAGGAGCGATTCCTCCATTAGAGAACTCAGCTTGTACTCCTCTTTAGCCAACAGCTGCAGACGCAGGTACGTCGACCTCTTCACTCTAAAACAGAAATGCAAACACAGACAAATATGTGATCTTCTGTAATAATCCTTCATATGCACGGGAAATAAAAGTAAATGTGCAATAAAGGCAGGCGCATGTGTGTTTGTGTCAGGCCTATACTGAATTACTGCACTGCGGTTTCTCTCTCTCTCCTTTTTCAGTCTGAAAGCTTTTTCTCTGATTCAGGAGATGTTTCATAGAGGAAAAGAAAACAATCCTACCTGCAGCACTGAGTCAACGGGACCAGGATGGACATTTCATCGTGCGAATGCTTTCCGAAGCTGAAATAAACACAAGTCGACTGCGTTATATTGGAATAAATGACACTGACTGCATTGAACGCACACTTAAATGTACTGAAAGTTCAGCCAGAAATGGAAGTTACCACATTATCTGGTCACACTTTATTTAAATAAGAATGTAAGTGCTGGATTAATCTGGCATCGAGGGAGCTGCGGCTCTACACTGGCCTACTTCAGCCGCAAATGTGGAGAATGAAAAGCTGCGGCTTCAAACGAGCTGAATGACGGTGTAATCAAAATGCTTTATCACACACATATATCCCAGCCGGAGACGTGGCGGCGTATAAATCTGACCTTACACATCTACATGTTCAGGCCTCTTCAGAGAGGAACACTCTGTTCACCTGGTGTCAGTGTAAAAGGAGGAGCTCTGAGGGGTGAAGAGAGATGTTAATATAAACAGCTCACCCTCTGCCATTGTCCAAATGAATGATGAAAGTGTCGTTTCCAAACTTCTCAAAAGTTTCGTAATGATGGCGGTCCATGTTGCCTGTTCAGTGCAAAAACAGAGAGAGAGAGAGAGAGAGAGAGAGAGAGAGAGAGTAAAACACAATCGCTGGAGCTTGGTGGATTGACAAAATATTGCTGATGATTTTTGTTTTCTTAAAGTTGGCATAAACGGGAGATTGTTCAGAACTTTCTGCGCTGATAGCCCCGCCCTGCAGGACTGATTGCTTTACCCTAAAAGACTGATAGCTCCTCCCCCTAAAGAATTCATAGCCCCACCCTAAAAGACTGATAGCCCCAACCCTAAGGAACTGAGAGTTCTACTCTAAAGAACTCAAAGCTACACCTTAAAAAACTGATAGCCCCTCCCTAAATGACTAACAGCTCTGCCCTAAATAAATGATAGCTCCGGCACAGAGAACTAAGAGCCCCTCTTTAAATGACTGATAGCCCCGCCCTGAATGACTGACAGCTCTGCCCTAAAGGACTGATAGCCCCACCCTAAAGGCCTGATAGCTCCACCCTGAATGCCTGATAGCCCCACCCTAAAGGACTAATAGCCCCACCCTAAAAGCCTGATAGCTCCACCCTAATGGTCTGATAGCTCCACCCTTAAGGCTTGATAGCTCCACCCTAAAGGCCTGATAGCCCCACCCTAAAGGACTGATAGCCCCACCCTAAAGGCCTGATAGCCCCACCCTAAAGGCCTGATAGCTCCCCCCTAAGGGCCTGACAGCTCCACCCTAAATGACTGATAGCTCCACTCTAAATAACTGATAGCCCCGCTCTAAAGGACTGATAGCCCCGCCCTAAAGGACTGATTGCCCCGCCCTAAATGACTGATTGCCCCGCCCTAAATGACTGATAGCTCCACCCTAAATGACTGATAGCTCCACCCTAAAAAACTGATAGCTCCGCCCTAAAGCACTGATAGCCCCGCCCTAAATGACTGATAGCTCCACCCTAAATGACTGATAGCTCCACCCTAAATAACTGATAGCTCCACCCTAAAGGACTGATAGCCCCACCCTAAAGCACTGATTGACCCGCCCTAAATGACTGATTGTCCCGCCCAAAATGACTGATAGCTCCACCCTAAAGGTGCCCTAAAGTACAGAAGAGGGGAGGTAAGTTTATAATATTTAATTTTGAGGGCAAATTAATATTTACAAAATAATGCAGTGCACAGTCACACCGTTTATAACAAGCTCTACTATTAGCATATACAAATAATACGAGTACATTTAGATTTCACGCCCACTTTAACGAATAATGAGTTAACGCTTCAGAATGAGAATGTGTTTATCCACACACAAACAGGGCTGCTTATATGGTGCTTCACACGCGCGCACACGCACGCACACACACACACACACACACACACACACACACATGCACACACACACACACACACACACACACCGCACTCACCCATGAGAAAGTCAAATATAGTCATGTCCATGATGTCCAGCAGTCGTGTGCCTCTGTCATACGGAGGAGTCTGTTTGACCTCATCACAGTAATCTGGATCCACTTCCCACCTAACAACACAACCAAAGACACTGAGAAACGCCTGTACATAAATGAATATATCTTACATTAATGTTCACAGGATGCTTTA